AGCTTCACGGCGTGTTCAGAAAAACCAGTTTGTTTCAGTTTTGATTTCATCTGAAGAGAATCCTGGCCTTTTCCTCTCCATGTCCAGGTCCAGGTCCAGGTCCTGGTCCAGGTCCATCTTGTCTCCATGTCTCTCTGACACATTCAGAACCTCAGATGTTGTAGAACCAGAACCTGCTGCTGGCCTCCATGTTGCTATTTTAATCATTTTCTTTCTCTCTCTGCTGTCACATAAAATGCATTAAATCTCGTCCCTTTGCCAACATGCATGTATGTAGCCTCTCTCTCTCTCTCTCTCTCTCTCTCTGTGTGTGTGTGTTTGTTGTTTGTTTTGAGACTTTCTGATGAAATCTGACAGAAATTCGTTAAAGAAATAAAATCCTCGCCCCCTGAGGCCATGTCGCTTCCTCCAGCGCTGCTGTCAGCTTAGTGAGCAGCAGAGCGGTGTGAAACGCCAATCAGTGCAGTTGCCATGGAGACCGAGGTGGCGATGCAGCAGCATCATCAGCTGAGGATGAGGAGAGGCGAGCTCGGCGCTTCCCTCAGTCGGAGAAACGGATCGGATCAGCCGGACGGAACCAGGTGAGGTTCTGCTATATTCCTCTCTGATCGCTCCTCATGCCTGATGACATCATCACGCGTGTTTGATGACATCATCAAGGTGCATAGAGTTTCAGATTTAAAGAAAAAACAGAAACGGCTCTTAGGGAAACTTCGTGCTGCAGCGGATGTGATGGGTCAGCAGGTTCTGATCCGGTTTCATTCAGATGTCGACATTTGAAGCGTTTTTAATTTTTCCTCTTTATTCCTCAGATTTACAGTGAAAATCAGAAAGTTTGGTTAAATTTCCTTTTCCTCCCTTATAATTGACCTAAAAGTAATAAAATCTGCTTTGGACGTGGAAATATTTTTAAATCGATCATCTTAGATTGAACATCATTTCTTTAAGTTTAATGTAATAATCAATTTGTTATTTTTTACACTCTAAAAATCATATATGATTAGATTTAAGAAAAAAAAACACTTTCAGACAGGAGATGGATGGTTATTTTATTTATTTTTCCAGAATTTCTTTGAAGAATATTCAGTCTAAATTCGCTGCAGTTGCTGAAATGATTTAGAAAACCAGTTCAACTTACAAAACAAATAAACTTCATAAGAACTCAGTTTTAAAGACAAGATAAAGTATTTATGCATTGATGTAACCTGTCACTCAGGTACCGACTGTAGATGATATCTGATCTAATTTTAATGAAAATGCTGATTATATAAGTCTGACAGATTTGTAACTTTTCAATATTTTTGTACATCATTGTTCAACACAGTCTCGAAAAAATGTGAAGGAGTTTTTCTCCTAAATAAATAACATCACATAAATTATGGTGTCATCTGCATACAGTCAAATCTCACAGGAAAAACAGGTTAAACTGTGATATGCAAAGCTAATTTTCATTATCTAATTATAAATATCTGGAGTTTTTACTGTCCTCTGAATTAAATGTAAACTTTGGAGCTTCTTTTAGAGCATCGAATCAGTTTACTTTAACTTTATTTGTGTGAATATTCACTTTCATTTTTCCTTGAATTAAATAGCTACTTTATTTAAGTTTTGGTCATGATTGAATGTGTAAAATTTAACAAACTAAACTAAACTATTGAACTTACATTAAATCAGTCTCTATCTCAAAATGTGTCAAAAATCAAACATCCATTTTTAAGGATGAATCTTTTAATCCTTAAGATTAAAAATAAAGTAACTGATGCAAAAAAAAATCTAAATCTGGCAGCTGGAGGTTTGGTTTCCTGTTTCTCAGTTTTTACAGAGTTGCTGTTAATCTGCTGATTGTTTTCATGCTACTGCTTCCAGTTGCTGAGCGGCGCTGAGTCTCTGTGTGACTGAGAGTCTCGGTTTAATATCTGCCGCCGCCTCGTCGCTCATAAATCACCACGAGTGTCTCTGGTTGTTTGTCTGCAGGAGTTTCATCTCAGCAGCTGATGGTTCATCTCAGCTAACGGCGAGCGGAGACGCCTGGAGCGAGAGGGAGATCCAACATGGCTGCCGAGCAACGCAACATGGCCACTGAGGACGGAGAGCGAGGAGGACTGAGGAGGAAGCCGACGGGTCCACCGAGGCTCCTTCTGGGAAGAACCAGAACCAGAAGCACTGGAGAGGAAACCAAACCAGAACCGGCCGGGAACGGGGAGGAAACGTCGGCTGTGAGCGACGACCAGACAGCCTGCAGGGGGCGCCAGAGCGCTGCAGGGAAAAGGAGACGCAGGTGGTGGAGCGGCATGACCTCAGCAGTGGGCTGCATCAGGAGACAGGAGGACGGTGAGGCTGGTCCACCAGAGGGGGCGCTGCAGAGGCCTGAGGACAGTGAGGAGAGTCCACCAGAGGGGGCGCTGCAGAGGCCTGAGGACAGTGAGGAGAGTCCACCAGAGGGGGCGCTGCAGAGGCCTGAGGACAGTGAGGCTGGTCCACCAGAGGGGGCGCTGCAGAGACAGGAGGACAGTGAGGCTGGTCCACCAGAGGGGGCGCTGCAGAGACAGGAGGACCATGAGGCTGGTCCACCAGAGGGGGCGCTGCAGAGGCATGAAAAGACGAGGAAGATGAGGAACGTTTTGAGGAGATTCGTTCCGCTAAGGAAGAAATCTTCTCCATGGTTCCGGACTAAACTGCAGAAATTCTTCATCAGAACGGGAAGGAGACGGTCCGTCCCGCCGGGACACGAGGAGGACGCGGTGTTAGGAACGGACCTGTGTGCTTCTGGACTCGCCGGGATTCTTGAAGGACCTCCACAGGTCCAGATGTTCTGCTACCAGGCGAAATGTTTACCTGAAGACCCGGAACCTACTGCAGAGATGACGGACCCTGAAGATGGACCGGTGCCGGTCCAGACGGCTCATATAAACCAGGTTCTGGTGCGGGACGTGTCCTCAGAGGAGGACGAGGTTTTGTTTGACTCAGAACTTGTTGTGGACCTCCATGACCAGCCCGCCTTCAAGTTCCCCACAGAAGACAAGACGGTCCAAATGTCTGTCCCGCCCCAACCATCCATCAACGGACCGTCCATCCGGATCCAGCTCTGTCCTCCGGACGACTCCGCCCGGGAGGAAGAGGAGGAGGAAGGCTGGGTGGGCGTGGCCTCCGCAGAGAGCCACCTCCTCCACCTGATCTGCTCCGACCCGAGCGAGCGGCAGCTGCTGCAGGCGGCTCGGTCGCTGGTCAGAACCGCCATGACCGCCGCTGTGGATCAGCTGACCCGAGAGCAGCGAGGCGGCGGAGGCTCCGCCCACCTGGAGCCACCGGGCGCCAGGTGACGGTCTGAGTAGAACTAGAAAACACCTGGCTAGCATTAGCATTACTGAAACAAACACCTGTATAGATTCTCATAACAAGCTGTTGATGCTGTAGCCTCATTATAACGACCACATGAATGTTTCTCCACCTGAACGCGGCATCATAACCGTCCTCTGCTAAGCTAGCTGCTGCATTACGACACTTCCTGATGGGAATATCAGAATAAAAGCGCTTCCTGTTCTGATCATCTTATGTCATTTATAGTTTAAATTTAATCCTATTACTATTTAGTAAAAGATTTTGGATTAAAATTGTACAGTGAAAAGCTACAGAGTTTCATAATGAATGAAATTTTATAAATAAATGTTTAAACTTACAGAGGTTTGGGAGGAGCAAGAAAAAAAACATGAGAGGAAATGAAGAATTCACGGGAAGAGATGGAGCAGAATAATTATTAGTTATAACTAAAAAATGAAGTGTGAAGCCGGGATTAATGCAGCACACGGAGCTTCACATAGAAGGGTTTTACATTTGACATGTACTCATTTTTCACCTGGTTACAGAAGAATGACAAATTAATAATGAAATGAGAACTATTATTAATAAATTATAAATAAAAGTTCCCATTAAATATGTTTTTTTTTTAAAATTCTGGTTTTATGAGGAAATTATTTTGTCAAACTCAGTTTATTCATTTCATAATGGTGTTTTATTTACATATTTCAGGGACTTAATTTTTTTAACTGCTTACATTTCATGGTTTTTAATTTTATGTTCTTGTATACAAATGACAGGGGCAAGTATGTCTAGGTAAATATATATGTATAAATTAAAATAAGCTTCCACTGAAAAATATTTAAACATTTCATTATTTCATGGGGACACATATTTATTTATTTACATTTTATAGTTATTTATCAACAATATTTATTTAATTAATTAATCTGAGAAACTTATTTCTAAATACACAAATAAAGATTAAACCATAAAATAATGACAGGAGGTAGGATTTAGGTAAACAACAAAGAAATGATCCAAAAACAAAGGAATATTACATCACAAAAATATTATTATGATTAAATAAGTTTTTTGGATTCCAAATTATGTCAGATCATTAATTGACAGTTGTCAATTAATCAACATTTTAATTAGAATTATATTATATTTCAACTAAAATATAATAATAAAGTTAATCAACATTTCAGGTTTGTATTCCTGAAATGACTCTTGGTAGAACGTCGGATTTACAGGATCGTTGTTCCTCATTTATCACATCCTGGTTGCTGGATGTGGAAACAGAAGAAACTTCCAGACAGACGGAGGAAAATCGACAGGAAACGAGTAAAACCCAGAATCCAGATGAGTTTTTCTTTCTTTCCAGATTATTTCACCCAGACAGAAACAAGAAGCCGAGTTTCTCTCAGCTCGTTTCTATTTAAAGAAAACTTCCTGCTGTTGACAAGTGGAGCCGCTCTAATGAGCCCAACCGGCCCCGGGGTCCGGGCTCCGACCCGCAGCAGGAACCCACCTGGTCTCCATGGAAACGGACGCTCTGGGCAAAACACATCAAAATAATGTTCTTCCTGTATAAAGTATTCACACCCTGTGAATATTTCCGTATTTCTTCAACATTAAACCAGAATTTGCTGCAGCCGCCTGATGCTAAGAGGCTGTAAATCTGGACCTGAGCATGATGCTGCCACCACCGTGTTTCACAGGGTGTGGTGAGTTCAGGGTTTGGTTTCTGCTGCACAAAGAGTCACGTAGCATAAGATCCAATAAAACAGGGAAAAGTTTAAGTGGAAAAAGATTTTCAGCTTTGACGTTTGCTTAATTTTTTCTTCAGATGTTTGAAGGCTCAGTGCCTCCAAATCCGAGGCCATGGTCTTGAGCCGGAAAAGGGTAGAGAGCCTTCTCCGGGTCAGGGGGGTCGTCCTGCCTCAAGTGGAGGAGTTTAAGTATCTGGGATCTTGTTCACGAATGAGGGAAGAAGGGAGCGGGAGATCGAGAGGCGGATTGGGGCAGCGTCTGCTGTGAAGCAGGCGCTGTACCGGTCCGTCACGGTGAAGAGAGAGCCGAGTCAAAAACGAAGCTCTCGATTTACCGGTCGACACGCTGGAGGGACGATGTCTCTCTGCTGGCCTGGGAACGCCTTGGGGTTCCTGGAGGAGCTGGAAGAGGCTGGAGAGGGAAGACTGGGCCTCCCTACTGAAGCTGCTGCCCCGCGACCCGACCCGGATAGATGGATGGATGGATGGATGGATGGATGGATGGATGGATGGATGGTTGGATGGAGGCAGGATGGATGGATGGATGGATGGATGCAGGATGGATGGATGGATGGATGGATGGATGGATGGATGGATGCAGGATGGATGGATGGATGTTTGAAGTTTATGAAATAATCCTGCATGTTTATCAGAAGGGAAATATTTTATTTATGCAGATGCTAATAAAGGTTAATAACAGAAATATGAACTAAAAAGATCTATAGATTCTGTTTTCATGTTTCAGAATCTTTAATGTGAATCTTGATCTGCAGCCCTGAAGGTTCCAATCACTGATCAATCAGCCTGATTGACAACTGATTACAGTCGTCAATCAGGTTCAGCTGGAGACGTTTTAATTCTGTCTGCAAACCGAAACAAAACAGATTTTATGAACAAACCATAGCCTCAAACAGAAACTGAATCATTTCAGATGAAATCACAGAGCTGCTTTCATTAATGCTCTACTTTGGATTATAGAAGCTTTTTCTTTTTTAAATGACAGTTACACCTGGTGCAAACAGTGACTTTAAATTACAGTAGAAATTTAACACATTAATAATAATAGCTGTTATTTTCCATTTTCTCTTTCTGAATATTTTCTGTCTGATTATTAAACAGTCTTTGCTTTTAAATGTATTTGATTCCATTAAGAAAAACATATTTAGGTGCATCTTAAAAAGCAGAGATGAACAGTTTACTCTTAACAGGAAAATATTAAAGTAAAAATAAGAAATAAAACTAAGCAGATGAAAGTTTAGAAAGTGAAAAAAAGCTGAAATCTGCTGTTTCAGGAGCCACCGTCTGACGAGGCTTTAGGTAACATACTGACTACTGATATCTACACCAGAAAACCACATCAGCTTTGGTTTCTGACAGGATGAATGAATCCGAATCTCAGCTCTGAGGTTTTGTTGTTTATTGTAAACATTTTTATCATAATTTCTGGTTAAACGTATTTTAGCTGCAGGTTGGAAAGTTTCAGAATAAAATAAAATATAAAAAATGGATCCAAGCTGCAGCTGGAGCTTCACTTCATCCTGAGCTGCAGAAAAACAACAAAACAGAGAAACTTTAACATCAAACAGGCTGGAATAAAATAGATGAATTATAATAAAACACTATGATCTGAATCTGGTTCTCATCTCAGTTTTATTTACCTGTCAGATTTTCACCTGAGTGACTGAGACCTGAGGAGGAACCGCTGAGCGCTTTGGACCGTGTTCTGAAAGGTTCAGACATGAAGAAACTCACGATGAAAATATTCAAAACATACAAAAAAATATAAAAAACAAACCAGGAGACAGAAAAATACTGATTGGACATAAATATTTGATGAACCACAAAAGAAAACAGATATTAATATTATTCAACCAGGAAACGACGAGCTGCAGGAATTATAATTATTTATTATTTAAATATGTTTAAATGTTGGACTGAAAACTAAAATTAAATTTGAATCAAATAAAATGTTCTTACTGATGTACTTTATTCTGATAATTCTTCATTGTTATAAATAAAATGTCATTATTAATATCAACCTCCATCAGCATGGCCACCGTCATCGGCCCCACCCCTCCAGGAACCGGCGTTAGGAATCCTGCTCTCTGATTGGCCGAGGCGTAGTGAACGTCACCAACCACCCGCTTCCTGCTGGCTTTGGTCTCATCTGGAAGAGGTCAAAGGTCAGCCTGGTGTTCCCGCCACAGAGCTGCACAGGAAGTGGATCTACTGAACCTGGAAGGTGATTGATCCCGCAGTCGATCACCACGGCGCCGACCTTCAGCCACTCCCCCCTCACCATCTCGGCTCGGCCCGCCCCCACCACCAGGATGTCGGCCCGGCCCACCTGCCCAGGGCGGGGCGGGGTCAGAACCGCCGCAGACAGACGGCGGTCTGTCAGCGGTCAGTCTGTGACTCACCTGCTCAGGTAGGTCTTGGGTCTTGGAGTGGCAGGTGGTCACGGTGGCGTGACGCCACAGCAGCAGGTCGCGCATCGGAGCGCCGACGATCTTACTGCGACCGATGACGACGGCGTGTTTACCTGCCACTGACACGCCTGAAACAGGAAGTCCATGAGTGACATCACAGGAGGAAAGAGATTAAAGATGGCTTCCCTGAAGTCACATGACAAAATAAAGCCCTGGTATTGGTTCCCTGTGGGATTCTGCCTCTTTAGGAGACAGGAAGTAGAGAACAAATTTTCTTATAATTATTATTAATATAGTGTATTTTAAGAAAAGCAGAAGATCTAGAAGGAGAAGGTCTGCCTGGTGGACTGGGAAGGAAAGTTTCTGAACATCTGAGTTTAAATCTGAACTGTTTGCAAAAATAGAGTTTAGCAGTGGTCTAGTCAAAACCCAGATTAAATCTGACTGAGATGTTGTAGAAAGATTTTAAACAGGTTGTTCATGCTGGTAAATGTGTCTCTGCAAAGCAGAGAGAGTCAATCTTCCTCCACTGTGATGCTAAAGACCCATTAGCAGCTATCATGCTAACGATATCTAATTGGCGCAGAGGAAGAAACATCCAGTTATCAGGTTTAGGGTGTGAATACTTTTCCTCAGAGTTGGATTGGAGTTTCTTCACTTAATAAATAACATTTTCATTTGAAATCATCGTTTTGTGTTCACTCAGGTTGTCAGCTTGTCTCTTTTCTTCATTAGCCTGACTGAGTGTGTGCGTGGTGCCACCTGTCTGCCGGATGAGCTCCATGCAGCCGTTGGGGGTGCAGGGGATGAAGCAGTCGCTCAGATCGCCTCGAGACAACTTTCCTGCGTTGATGCAGCTCAGCCTGGAGGGACAGGAAACAGAGGTTAGGTAACGCTCGTTAACCAATTAACCGGAAACCGCATGTGATTGGTCGATCCGGTCTAAGTCTAAAGGAGGGTGGGGTCAATGGGAGAGGCTCCAGTGGAGCTGCAGATGAGATCAGAACCGGGTCAGAACCGACCCGTCCACGTCCTTGTCGGGGGAGACGGCGTTGGTGATGAGGTCGGTGTCCATCTTGTGGGCGGAGTCTAGAGGCAGCTGGACGATCAGGCCGTGGACCGCCGGGTTCTGGTTGACCGCCATGATGCTCTGCAGAACCTGCAGGGCGACAGGAAGTCGTCACCACCTCCTCACCGCTGGGGTCACCAACACGAGCGACCTCTGACCTCTTCCTGAGCCGCTGAGCTCGGCAGCCGGATGTGTTTGGCTTCGATTCCGATCTGCAGGAAAAACGAAACTCTGTTTAGTAACATCCAGTTCAACATTTACAAGATTCTCAGGATAAAAGTTTTCAGATATGAGATGATTTCTGTTTCTTTCTGTTTTCCACCGCAACCAGTGATTTTACAGCAGCTGAGCGCCCTCTAGTGGGCGAGCAGGAGAACTTAAATAAATATTAAAGTTCAGTATAAACTGATGATAAAAACATCTTCCTGACATAAATCTGATATTTTTCATATTCTCCTTTATTCTACTTTGAGTTGAGACTTAAACTTGTCAACAAATGTTTTAGTTAATCAGTTCTGAAGAACCAGAGATTATTCTGACCGTTTTGTGTCATCAGTCATAAACTGAGTTTCTGCTCTGGAGCTTAAAGTTGAGTCTCAACACAACGAAAGAAATCAGATCCTCAGAAACACAACTGATACAGTCTGGGAAAAATAAAGAAAACAGATGATTCCCAAGAGGAGAAAACATAACGCCGTCCTCTGACAATTTTATTTGATTTATTATTATTATTATTATTATTATTATTATTATTATTATTATTATTATTATTATTTTTTTTTTTTTTTTTTTTTTTTAAAAAAATGTCACTTGGGGGGGGGGTAGACATTTTTTTTTTTTTTTTTTTTTTTTTTTTTTTTTTTTTTTTTTTTTTTTTTTTTTTTTTTTTTTTTTTTTTTTTTTTTTTTTTTTTTTTTT